ATATATATATTAAAAACCCCAAATAATGATGATAACAAATTATAAATCAATAAAAATGAGGTGACCAATCTTCAACCTTGGCTATCACCAAAAGAACTAAATGCAGAGCCTGCAAAAGGGCCAGGCCAAGGAGGGGAAGCGAAACCAGAAAGAAACAGAATTACTCCTGCCAGGCACCCCCCAATCCTGAGCTGGACGCCATGGTCCTCACTGCACCTCAGGACTCGCCCCAGTCCCAGGAAGTCACGGCAGCCCCAAGGACCTTCAGCAGCGCCTGTCCTCACCCTCGGAACCCCGGGAGGATCCCAGGTTACACCCTCAAAGGTCACAGTGGCACATTCACACCCTCCTGTGAGGACTGAGCGAGCTCACCCAGCAGGCGTTTAATCAAAGCCGGGTGCAGGTGGCACTTGGCAGATGACGTCACTCCTGCCCCATGGAGTCAGCACTACCCCACTAGGCCTTCCTGTCTGCGGCCCAGAGGGAAAGGGCTCAGGGAATCCGGAGGCGGCCATGGGAGCTGGGGAAGCTCCGAGTTGGTTGCCCTCTCCCTGAGAAATGAAGGAGGTGTCAACATTCAGGAGGCCCCAGTTTGGGGATCTGTGACTTTGTAGCAAAAGTGCCAAGGGCAGTGGAAAGGGGCCTGGTCTCAGGCAGAGCAGACAAAGGGACCCTGTGTGGCACTGCCTCCTAGCACGACCAGGCTTCCAAGAACCACACGGGCAGGCGTTGGTGCTGGGTTGTCGGCTGCCGCCCTGTTCCTGGAAGTTATGGTCCAGGAAAAGCAGGGGGTGGATGGGGAGGGAGACAGTGCGAGCAGGAGAGACGGTGACAAAGGACAGCAGGCACAGAGGCGAGGAGGGACACAACAGAGGGTCCCTGGGGAAAGCAGGCCTTAAATGAGAGGGAGGCTGGAGAGGACACACAGCTGGGGAGCTCTAAGCAGCGCTGTGGTGGTGGCAGCAGCCGGGGCAGCTGCTAGGGCCACCTCCTCCAGCCTCCTTCGCATCCCAGGCCTGGTGTCTCCGGTCTCTCCTGCTGTCTCTGCCTACCCTCTTCTTACCTCTTCGGCCCACTTTTCTTTAGTGGGATATGCTGGTGCGTTATCTGTCATCCCAGCACTCTGGGAGGCAGAGACAGGAGGATTGCAAGTTTGAGTCCAGCTTGGGCAATTTAGTGACTTAGCAAGACCCTGTCTCAAAATAAAAAGTACAAAGGGCCAGGGTTGTAGTTTGGTGTGAAGGCCCTGGGTTCAGTCCTCAGTAGTAGAAAGAGAAGAAACAAAAGGGAAACACTCTTCCACTCTGCCACTCTGCCCTGGAGTTACATGCGATGAAGCACAGAGCTCGCTGCCCTGGGAGAGGGCCTAAGGGGTTCTGGCATCACCACACAGGGGAAGTCACTCCAGGGCAGTGTCAGTTTCCTCATTTCTAGAACTAGGCTGGAAACTCCTCAGGTGTAGGAGGTAGGTGCAGGCCTGGCTGCAGCAACAGGGAGGATTTTGGGAGCGGGAAGATGGACCTCCAACCTCCAGCTCGCAGCCACCTCTCCCTCTAGGAGCAGGAGAAACGGGCCAGGTGGGTACAGATGGAGACAACCCAGTGTCCAGGGCACCAGAGCTGCCTGCACTGTCACAGGGCCCCCTTGGGTGGGGCCGTCAGGGCAGAGCAGGGTGCGGCCAGGAGGCAGCAGGCGGCATTATCAGGAGGGTGCAGGGCAGATCTGCTATGAGCCCCTGCTTATCACCCCCAGCCCTGGGCCAGGATGTACCGGCTAGGTGGTCACTGCCCCAGACTGCCCTCCACACAACAGCAGTGGTCCCTGGGAACCAGAGAGCCATCAGGCCCATCTATGAGCCTGGGGTGGGGGCTGAGGGATGGGAAGTCGCATCCTTCTCTTCAGGTCCTGGGGCCACGAGCCACTATGGTGGCGCACACCTGTAATTCCAGCACTGGACAGGCCAGAGCCTGAGGCAGGAGGATCACTACTGAGTTTAAAGCCAGCCTGAATTGTATAGTAAGACCCTCTATCAAAAAATAAATATAAATATGGGCTGGAGATATAGCTCAGTGGCACCGTGCCTGCCTGGCAAGTGCAAGGTCCTGAGTTCAATTCCTGGAAACAAAAAGAAAAAAGAATTAAAAACAAATAAATAACTTGCATGGTCTACAATTCCAGCACTTGGGAGGAGGATCCCTGTGAATTCAAGACCAGCCTGGGCTACATAGTAAGTCCAAGGCCTATCTGAACCACATAGCAAGACCCTGTGTGAAATAACAAAAGCCATATCAATAAATTAATAAATAATGAACTATCAGGGGCCTTTGCCCCCTGGGAGAAGCGACTTCTTCACAGCAGGCTAGCTCACCCCTCATCTCTGACCCTGCAGGAGGCCCCCACCTCACTCAGGAGCTGATGGGCTGGGATCTGGCTGCTTGGCAGCCTGGGGTCACTCTGTGGCCCTGGCCTGGGGCCAGACGGGGATGGCAGGCCCTGGGCACCCTGATAACAGCCCACCTTATCTGCAGCTCAAGGCCGAGGTGGGGCCCTGCTAGAATCCAAAGCAGGTTCTCAGAAACGAGAAGGGGGCAGTGTACAAGGCCTCAACTGGGGGCTCCTGGCCTGCAGGAAAGTGGCGGAGGGGCGCCCAGGGCTTAGGGAGGTGCCCAGGGGCTCAGACTGTCTGTCCCCAAAACCTCTAAAGTCCCTGGGCTGTTAGGCAGCAGGGACACCCAGAATCCTCAGCCCAGAGCAGGAAGTGGCTGCCTTCGGAGAGGTCACAGCCTTTTGAGAGTCTAAGATCATGTGCTGGCCCAGTGGGGAAACTGAGGCCCAGGACATCACAGGAGAAGCCCCTCAACTGACTGAGGACTTGAAGGAGCCATCAAGCACTGTCCCGGGTGGTAGGAAGCCAGTGACACGGGGCAGGGACAGAGTCCAGGCCTGGCCTCCTCAGTTCCCTGAGACCCAGGCCCCCTCCAGCAGCGCGGCGACTCACACAGGCACTTCTGGGGTTCACATCCAGGCCTAGCGAGCCACAGGTTCCAGGTCCAGGCCATCCGAGGCGGGGACCCTGGGGACCTCTCTTCCTGCTGGGCAGGGCCGAGCCAGGGACTACACAGGTGCACACAGAGCCTCCAGGGCGACACCCTCCCCTGTGCCCTGGGTCCACTGGACACAAGGGTGGCAGGGAGCAATGACACAAGGCCCTTGGTAAACATTCAGACGACCCCGGGCCCGAGATCCTGGGCCTGTAGTGTGGGACCGGCAAATCCGAAACAGCGGCCAGCTGTGCGCAGGGGGAAAACATCACGATCTTCAAAGCATTCACTGCACCTACTGCCTGGTGCTGCACATGAGGCACTGCGCTCACCTGACAGCCCTCAAGGGGGCAACAATGTTCCCAGAGCCACAGTTTGGGGTGAGCCCCCCTGTCGTCCCCCTCACCCCACAGCATGCAGATTTCCCAGGGCCTGGGCCCAACTCAGGGGCAGGACCTGACCAGCACCTGCTTCCCGGCAGGAGCAGGGACCTGAGCCAGATGGAAGAGACAGGGAGGATGGAGGGCTGGACTGAGCAGGGGAGCACCCCACACCACTGGTCTCCAGGATGACAGGAGGCCCAGGCTCATCAATTCCCATGCAGCTGGCGCCCCCTGCAGCCAGACATGGGTGCTGCAGGGCTGAGGCTGGATCTGTCCTGGATTTTGAACTCCTAGGTAGCCCAGGATGGCCTTGAATTCTAGGTGATCCTTCTATCTCAGCCCCCATCACTCCCGCCAAGCACCACCTCGCCTGACACTGTTGCACCATTTTAAGAATAGGAGAAGTGTTAAGTGTCTTGCCCACGTTCACAGAGCCAGGCAGTGCTGGGTCCGGAGCTCAGGTCTCCAGGGATCCCTGGACTGTGTCCCAGTCCCTGACAGCCTCACCCCTGCCCCAAGCTCCTGACACCTAGGACAGACACACAGTAGGGCATAAAAGGGATAAATTTAATGGCAGGCAGGGTGGTCTCAGCCCTCCCCCCAGGGGCGTGGGCAAGGTGGGCACAGACCCTCCACAAGGCTCAGGTGCTGATGACTAGGTGAGGTGCTCCTGGCCCTGCTGGGGACAGAGAGGGAGCAGGAGTCTGAGGTCAGTCCAGGGGTCTCCTGCAGCCAGAGCTACACAGGGCCTGTGGGCAGCTGGACACAGTGGGAACGCGTGTTCTAGTGCACACAGCCAAGCCCCTGCCTTGGAGCAGAGTGAGGGACACGTGGGTACTGCAGACTCAGCCAGGGGCTAGGCTCCTCTTTTTCCCCCCTTTTTTTGTAAGATAGGAAATCCTGCTTTGCTTTGTACCTCAGGCTGACCTCAAACTCAGTGATCCTCCTGCCTTATCCTCCTGAGTGCTGGAGTTACAGGCGTGCGCCACCACGCCCAGGCCCCAACTTCGACTGTCCCACTTTACATGTTTCATGTGGGACTTCACAGAGAATCACCTAGCCAGGCACTCAGGAGGCCGAGGCAGAACTATCTTCTTTAATTAACTAATTAATTATTTTCAAAATTAAAAAATTTAAAAGGCTGAAGATGTAGCTCAGTGAAAAGGGCCCTAAATTCAATCCCCAGTACCACAAAAGAAAGAAAGAGGGAGAAAAATCCTTGAAATAAAGGAATCCTCTTCAAAGTATGAAGCACTGAACTACTCTCAATCCTCAGAGGAGTGACTGGCCCAAAGCCAGCCAGTGAAATAAGAGGGGCAGCAGCCTGTGGCCCCTCCCTGTCCCCAAGCACTGAGCACCCCAGCCCAGAGGTTCCCCTGGACACCCCTCTCTCAGCGCACCCCACTTCTCACCTCCTGGAGAGAGGCAGCCCCCCCGCCCCCTGGGCAGTGACCCAGAGGCTGGGGCAGGGTCCCTGGACAGGGTGAGTGACAGCGAGTGCAGGGGCACGGCGTGGGGCTTGGCGCTGGCACGGGCACCCCCTCGGGCCCCACCGGTCTCTGCAGCCAGACAGCGTCAGACATGTACCTGGGGGAGAGGCCAATACAGGGTCCCTGCACTCTGCAGCTTAGGGCACCCAGCTCCCATACCTCACTGCTTGGGGCAAGGGCCACCCCAGCTAAGAGCTCCCCAGTGCCCTGGGGAAACCGGAGAGGGAGGGGAGAGAAGCAGGGCCTGGGACCCCAGGTGAGGGGGACCCAGCTTCTCTGACCCTGCCCAGCACAGGCCCAGGCCTGGTTTGCAGACTCACCGGGGTCCCAGCGGTGCACAGAGTGTCAGGTACCAGTTCCTGGCACAGCCCTGGTTGAAGGGGTTGTATCCCTGAAGGTCTCTGCACTGGAGGGGAGGCAGAAGAGACAAGGAGCTGGAACCAGTAGGACTGGGCAGGCCACTCCAGGGACCTGCAGCCAGACTGAGGGACAGGGAAGCCGAACCTGAGCTGCAGCTTCCTGCAGCTTCCTGCCTCCTTCTGAGTAGCTTGCCCAGTGGCACCTTCCTGGCTGTGTCCTTTCCCTCCCTCAGGGGCACCCTGGCCCTCTCTGTCCCCACTGGCCATACACATCCTCCTGCTACCTCCTCTCAGATCTTCCTTCTGCTACTCAACTGCTCCAAAGACAGTTACCCACTCCCTGTCTGTTCTCTCTCTCTCTCTCTCTCTCTCTCTCTCTCTCGGGCTGGGAGGAGTGTTGAGACAGGGTCTCACTATGCAGTTCAGGCTGGCCCTGAACTCACTATGCAGCCCAGGCTGGCCTCTAACCTGTGGCAAGCCTCTTGCCTCAGCTTCCCAAGAACTGGAACTACAGGCCTATACCACCATGCCTGGTGCTTGTTTGTTCGTTTTGAGACAGGGTCTGGCTGTGTAACTCAGGCTGGTCTCCAATTTCCAGTGATCCTCCTGCATCCTGGGATTACAGCCAAATCTCTGATTTTTTTCCCCCTAAGAAACACCTTCACTGGATTTCACTGTCCGGAAGGGCAATGTGGCGCCCAAAAGCACATGGCCCAGGAGAATCTGGGCTGGAGGCAGTAAAGGTCAATCCTCCCCAGGATGCCCTTGCACAGGTCCCCTCTTCATCCCCACCCCCTCCCAAGGCCCCCTGCTCCCCAGCCTCAGCCTCACACGGATTCAATAGCCCTCTATGGCAGATGTTTGGTCCCAACAAAAAATGGACCAGCAGCCCCTCTGCCCACTCAACACCCCATGCCCCATGCCCAGCAGGAAGACTGATCTCCCACACTGCCCTCGCTGGAGCAGTCAGCCCTATTCAAAGTTCTGAGGAGGTATTTTGAACAAAAGTATTTTGATGAAAGTTACAGAATTTTTAAATTTAGGATATTAAACTTGGATTTATTGATGCATGTGAAGTCTAGAAAAATGTGGGTTGTATATGAATTATAGAAAAATGCTGAAGTGCAAGCCAGGTATGGTGGCACATTCCTATAACCCCAGCACTCAGGAGGCTGAGGCAGGGGGATCAATGTGAGTTCACTACATATCAAAAAATCAAAAAGAAAGGAGGAAGGGAAGAAAAAGAAAAGAAAGTTATAAAGATGGAAAGGAAGTAATGAAACCTTTCTTACCTACAGAGGACATGATTTTTCATGCAGAATCAACAAAAGGATTTAGAATTAATAAGCAAGTGTAGCAAAATTGCAGATTCATGACCAATGCACAAAAATCTACTGTATTTTCTGCCAGTTGTGGTGGCACACACCTGTCATCCTAGCACTCTGAAGGCTGAGGCAGGAGAATCACAGCAAGTTCAAGGCTAGCCTGGGTTACATAGTGAGTCCAAGGCCAGCCTGAACTGCAGAGTCAGACCCTATTTCAAATAACAAAAGAAAGGGCTGGGGATGTAGCTCAGTGACGCTGAGCCTGCCTGCTAAGCTCAAGGTCCTAAGTTCAATCCTGGGTACGAAAAAACAAAACAAAAACATTGTTGTTTTTTATAATAATCAGCAAATGGATGCTAAGAGTGGTAGTCCAGGCCAGGCGTGTTAGTACACGATTGTAATGCTAGCACTAGGGAGGCTGAGGCAGAAGGATCACTGTGAGTTTGAGACCAGCCGAGGCTACACAGTGAGTTCAAAGCCATCCTGAACTACACAAGACTCTGCCCCCAAACAGAACAAAAGAAGATAAAAATTATGCTTCATCAAAAACATCTGCTCTTTTCAATTTTCAATGCACTGTGACGACAATAAAATGACACGTCATGTATTTTGAGAAAATACTTGCAAAATACAGCTGAATTCAGAATATATAAAGAACTCTTAAAACTATAAGAAAACAACCCAAATTTTTAAACAGGAGGCAAAAGATTGGAACAGACACTTCACCAAAGATACACAGATGGCAAATAAGAACATGAAAAGAGGTTCAACATTACTCACTAGAAAACCAGTGAGAAACTGCCAGGTGTAGTGGCACACACCTGTAAACCCAGCATTCTGGGAGGCTGAGGCAGGAGGATCGAAAGTTTGAGCCCAGCCTGAGCAACAAAATATTGCACAAAATTTTAAAAGGGCTGGGAATGTAGCTCAGTGAAAAGGTCCTCCGTTTAATCCTCCACATGGTAAAAACACGAAAAAAGATTTTTAAAAGAAAAGAACAAAGATGGGGCAAGGGATTTAGCTCAGTGGTTCCGGCGCCTGCCTCGCAACCACAAGGACGTGAGTTCGATCCCCGGTACCAATAAATAAATAAATAAATAAATAAATACCCAAAAGAAATGGAAACCTCAGGGGATACCGCTGAAGATGTCAAATGTTGATGTGGACACAGAGCAAATGGGAACCTCAAACATTGTTGGTGGGAAACCGGAAATGGTCCCCCTATCTCAGAAGGCAACGAAGCAGTTTCTTTGTGGTTTTGTTTGTTTGTTTGTTTTTGTTGTGCCGGGGATTGAACTCAGGACCTTTCGCTTGTGAGGCAGGCGAGGGAACCACTAAGCTAATTCCCCGAGGCAGTTCCTTATAAGGTTAAACACACAGCAAACACAGGACCCAGCTGTGCCAATCTTGAGAATTTACCCAACCGAGACGGAAACGTCGTCTCACGCCGATTACCAGTGTTTACAGCAGCTTTACTCAGAAGCGCCAAGAACTAAAAGCAGTGTAAAATCCAACAGGCGATGGATGGATAGACCATACTCCCACACAGTGCGACTCTGCACGGCAAGCAAAGGGAATAAACTAGGGTGTGAGCTCAGGGCCGACCAATCCCGAATGCAGATGCTAAATGAAGGCGTCTGGCTCACTGGAGAAGGAAAGTGGATGGAGCACAGGTGAGTGGTCCCAGGAGCTGCAGAGGAGGGAAAACGGACAGGAAAGCCCACGAAGACTTTCCTGGGGCACTGGAACTAACTGTTCGGCTCCCAATCGTGGTGGTGGCCGCAGGACGGCATCCATTTCTCAAAATTCCCAACGAAGAATGGATAGATACCCTAAGAAGGGCTGGCTCCTACAGTTTAAGAATTACTCCTCGGTACACCTTTAGGAAATCCTAAACCTGGCTCCCAGGCTCCCTGCATCGAGGCTAAATCCCACTCTCGACATCTAGGCTTTCCTAACCTGGCCCAGCCAAGGGTGACTCCGTCCCGGCCCCACTTCCCGCCACCCCTCACCCGGCCTTCACGCGACGCCCAGCCGGGACAGCGACCTGGGAGTGGAGGCGCCGCCCGCAGCCCGCCTCGGTCGGCTTACCTGGCCGTCGTAGGATCGCTCAGCCGTGCTCACCGATAGG